AATAGAAGCAACACACTTGTTACCCAGGTGTAAATAATGCTTAATTTCTAGGTTCTATAATAGATAGGGGTTGGAAGACATTTTTAAGCAGCTTCTGGGAAGATTCTAATGCAGATGGTCTGAATGAGAGAAACATTGCCCTAGGTCATCTTTTGTTAAGTATTTATTATGAGTAAATCTGGGGAGAAGAGTCAAACATGAACAGAATCATATGGTAAGCTTAAGGTCAGTATTTATCATGGGGTCACTGAGGAAATGCTTGTAACCCATTGGTTTCCTAAAGTAGGAAATTTCTGAGTTCAGTTTTAAAGGATAAGAAGGATGTAGTCAGATGAAAACGATGGCTGGAGAGGCATCCCAGGCCTTGAACTTGAGCAAAAACACAGAGGTGACAAACAGCATGTGTGTTCATGTCTCTGGAGAGTCAAGCGGGAACCAAATGGTGAGAGATGAAGTAGAAGAGGTATACAGAAGCCACACCAAGCACCCTGGACTTCTGTAGGGTAGGATTTGGAGTGTGGGGAGGAGGGAGTAGAAAACAAGGTAGATTTGCTTGTTAGATCACTAGTAGCCAAAGGGAAATGAACACAAGGATAAGAAGATTGTGAAACCACATCAAATCGTTAAGAGTTCAAGAAATCAAAGCAACAAATGGGCAATGATTTGAAAATTCTTGTTTAAATGTTTTCACTGTCACAATCTACATTTCAGAGTGACTCAGACAAAATAGTAATTGAAGAAATGAAAGAGTAAAGGCTTGCCTTCTGAGTTAGGTATTTCTGCATAGTAGGTGACACCTAATGGGTGTTCAAGATGACCCACCAAGATTAGGCTAAGCAACCATAAATGTCCCTGATTCCAAATGATACCATAAATAGGGTCTCTAATGTTTGTACTTAGGGTTTTTATTAGCTCAGTTCATTATACCTTTGACAGTTGAATGTATTATAAACCAGATCATCAGAGATCATAACAGCATCATTTCACTTTTATTTACACTACCAAAGTAGGGCTGCAGGCAAGAGATGAAGGATGAAAATGTACCATCTGCAGAGCTATCAACATAGTAAGTCTTAGAACATTTCTCTTTTAAATAAGTAACCTTCATGAAAAGAGGGAGCTTGTCTGGCACTCAGTAATAATTATTAAACGGGTTAATGAATTGCCCCAAAAAGTGCTTTCTGTAGCATGGATGTCGACTGAGTCCTTCACATTGCCTTTTATTGCACGGTGCTCTGGAAGCCTTAATTTTTTTCTGACTTAAAAATTTTTTTGTTTGTCAGATATTTGCCCTGACAATGCTATTTAATGGTTGGCTTACAATGAGGGGTTCTTGCTGCTTTTAAACATTTGAAACGGCTCCTTGGAATCCGACAATCGTGATTATGGTGTTATTTAACGCCCAGCACAAATACTCGAGCCTACAACAGTGGAAGAGTAGAGAGGGGGTATTTTTAATGGAGGCCACATTCCTTCAGTTTGGTAAAACTCAGCTGAAGTTACACACAGTACTCGCCGACCAGCAGCCTGACGCTGACGATGGGTTAGGGGGATAGGCTTTGTCTGATCCTAATTATGGAGAAACAGGAAGCTTCAGGATTAATGCTAAACTCTCATTCCGCAGGGGAGTTTCTCAAGAAGAAAAGTGCTCTGTTGTATAAAATCATTCGCTCCGTTTGTGTTTACACCGTGGCAGAAGTTATTCTTCGTATAGGTGACCCAATAGTTTGTGTGGCAAGCAGTAGTGTGTGGAAAGGAGACGCAGAGACGGTACGATAAAACTGTTACAGATCTATTTCTCTTTCCTTCGTAACCGTCTCTTACTTTAGACTGAGCGCCAAAGGCAGAGGGGCGGGGGCCCTGCCCTACTCCCAGCCCTTTTGGAAAAATGCCAGTTTCCCTACCCCAATTTGCGTTTAGTCAGAAAAGGCGAAGCACGCCTGCCTCGCCCGCCAACTTCCGGCCTTTGTCCCTTCCACCTCCCTATTGGCTGGGGCAGCCGTGGCCCCGCCCCCCTCTGTGGGGCCCAAAACCTGCCGCGAGCGCTTTCTGTGACGGAAGCCCCGGCGTCTCTGCGGGTATAAAAGGCCCGCGGGGCCGCAGTTGCTTTCAGGAGCCGCCGGCAAGGGGGCAACGAGGAAGGTTTATTGGAGCGTAGCCGGGAAGGAGAAGGTGGGGCGAGAATAGAGAGAAGACACAGCCTTCGGCCGAGAGGCAGTTACGCCCTCGGGACTTCTCGCGTGCTGGGAGAGGAGGACTGAACCTCATGTGTCGGGGAAGGCAGAGGGCCCCCAGAGGGGGAGTCCTGGGGGAGGGACCGGCCCACACCCGCTAGTGCGGCGCCAAGACGGCCAGCGCCCGTGTGGCCGAACTTCGGAGGCCCTTGGGGGGCCGCCGCCTGCCCTCCTGAGCGAGCCGACGCGGAATCGGCACGCTGGCTCTCCCACCCACACTTCGCTGTCCTCCCAAACAAACATTAAAACAGACAGTGACAGCGGAACCCGCAGACCCCAGCCGAGATCTTTAGGGCGTGAGTGGTGTGTGTGCCACTTATTTTCATTTCTGTGGCTCTGAAGTCCCCTCTGGCTTCCTCAAAGGCATGGTTTTCTTACTCAGCGTTATGCCTGTGGTAGTGGGTAAATGGAAGTTTACGATTTGGCTTGGGGCTGGGGAGGGTTTAAATTTTGTTTTTGATAGGTATTCTTGAAAGACATTTGGGGAGAATTACTGAGCTGTCACTTTTAAACGCCCCTAACGTCTGTATTTGTGACGGTGCGTTTTACCCATTGATGGCCATCCTAGGTGTCACAGTATTTGTCGGCTTGCTCAGGGTGGTTCTTAGGGTCTACGTTCAGCATCCCTGGTCTCCACATGTTCCCAACGTGGGGTGAGATCCAGCAGGAGCGAGGGATCGCGGAGTGCGTGTCCACTGTCCCCGCAGTTGGTCGCTTTGCCCGCCTGCTGGCTCCTGCCCTCAACTTCCAAAACAGCTTACTACTCATCTTGGACTACTTCTTAAAAAATTATTTTTATGTACAATATATGTATGTATAAATGTATCTGTCATACATATATTATTATTACTGCCTATGTCCCTTAGCATTTAGCATGTGGGCCTGCCGAAGTTGCGTTTCTGATTCTGTCAAATGGTTTAATTCAGTAAAGCTGTTGAATGATACTCTGATAGGAAGTTTTCATTAAGGGATTCAGTATCCTTAATTATAATATATTCTCAAAGGGTTTGCTTTGGGCAATACAGATTCATTTTGTCCTGACATGTTTTTTTGGAAAGATGAAATGTATTTTTTTTTTTAAAATATTCAACATTTTTCTATGACATGTGAATTACTTTATATTAGAACCTGGCCCCTTGTATGATTGTAACTAAACTGTGCCACTTTGGCCCCATAAAACTCGTTACTCTCTTTACCGTGGGGATGTTGTTGAGGACATGGTTCATTATATCACACTGTCCTCTTCAGAAGGACCCATGGGAGAAATTTCTCCTGGGTCTCACTATCTAGAAAAGCTGTGATTCTCCCAAGCAACTGATTTTTTTTTTTTTCCACCTCAGGAAACCTGAATCATTTGCCATCTGTTTTCTATCTTGTGATGGCTGCTTGGTAGCTCAGGGACTGATTTAATACCATCTCTATCATGGTGAAGTACCTGTTGCTTGCATTGTGGTGCTAACTTTACCTGTGGCTTCATGCTATTTTTCCTATCATAATTTCTCCCTTACCACTGAATGGATTTCCTTAAATATTTAATTTTGTTCTTTATTTGTATTTATAAGCCTTAGATAATTTTTTAGAATGAGACAGAGCATATACACATACAGTTTCGAGTGACAGTCTTTGCAACTCTGAGAATTATTACAGATTGAACTGTGCAATACCCTTGGTACCATTAAATGCCACAAAGGCAGAAGGAGGAGGACTTAAGGGAAAATTAGGACAGGTTAAGGAAGGACATGACAAAAGAAAGGTGCCTGTGATGGTGAGCGGTATAATAACGCCACAAATAACTTATGCCTGTTCTGATTAATGTTAAAAACAAAATTAAATTTAAAGCTAAAAAATGTATACTTAAAGATAAGCAATGTGTCTGAGGATATATTTAGAAAAATGGAGGGAAAAAAGACATTTTCATCTTGAAAAAACACAATTTTGTAACACTCTATTTGATGAATTACAGAAAAGCCAGTGCCTGTGTGGTTTAGGAGAACATTGTTTGAAAACAGATACATGAGCTTAATTTATCTTTCTTGAAATAAATGTAACTACAGAAAACATTTACTGAATTTTACAGAAGGAGATTTTGTTTGTTTTTGTTTTGTTTTATTTCATTTTAATATCATCCTGGGGGGCTTGGCACGGCCCTTCCTAAGGATTTCTTTAATAGTACTCTATTGCTTATCTTCACATAGTAAGCTATTAGGGTGGTTCTTTTTAAAAAAATTATCAAGAATGAGCCTGTTTGGCCGGGCACGGTGCCTCAGGCCTGTAATCCTAGCTCTCTGGGAGGCCGAGGCGGGTGGATTGTTTGAGCTCAGGAGTTCAAAACCAGCCTGAGCAAGAGCGAGACCCCATCCCTACTAAAAATACAAAGAAATTAATCGGACAACTAAAAATACATAGAAAAAATTAGCCGGGCATGGTGGAACATGCCTGTAGTCCCAGCTACTCGGGAGGCTGAGGCAGAAGGATTGCTTGAGCGCAGGAGTTTGAGGTTGCTGTGAGCTAGGACGACACCATGGCACTCTAGCCCGGGCAACACAGTGAGACTCTGTCTCAAAAAAAAAAAAAAAAGAATGAGCCTGTTTTATTAGAATAAATACCTAGAGATTAGAACTAAAGCTAATAACTTTAATAGGAAATAGACTTGTTCTTAGAAAACCATAGTTAACTGGCAAGAAATATGTTAATTAAAAACTAATATACTATTTATAAGACTGTTTTTTTTTCATTATAGCTGAGATTTACAGACATCCTGCCAAAATGATTTCTTCAAAGCCCAGACTTGTCGTACCTTATGGCCTCAAGACTCTGCTCGAGGGAGTTAGCAGAGCCATTCTCAAAAACAATCCACCAAATATCACCCAGTTTGCAGCAGTTTATTTTAAAGAACTTATTGTGTTTAGAGAAGGTTTGTTATTGCTTTAGATTATATATTTGTTGCTTTCAAAAAGAAAACATTTTAAATTGGCATTTTATATGTATCTGTATTTGATTTCCTGTATTTATTCCTTCAGGGAATACCTCTCTGGATATAAAAGATCTGGTTAAACAATTTCACCAGATTAAAGGTAAGTGCCACGAGTGGTGATAGTTTTAATAATGCTGGTTATAAATTACTGCATCATTACTACATACATTCAAACTTAAGAATGATGCCCACAAATATTTTTTGTTTAAATGATCACACCGATTTTTTTTATTAAATCAGTTTTTTAAAAAAACCTGACGATTGACATTTTGGAGGATTCCAAATCTTAGAAAGAAATAAGAAAAACTCATCTTTTACAAACCATTTGGTACAGTGAATATATATGAAGACCTACATTACTTAGGAAAGTTGTTAAAACACTCTTCTTGAAAGACTTTTTTTTTAAGGAAAAGGTTAACCACCCATATTTTTTCCCCTGGTGTTTAACTGCAGTCCAGGCTGGAGGACAGGAGATCAGTTAGGTGTCTCTGACCATACTTTCTGCTTCAAGAGTCCCTATGTATGAGGAGATAAGTTTTTCGTAGAGAATGCTCTCCTCCAGCATATCTCAGGCACTGTGACATAGTGCTATATATTTGCTTAGAAGAAAGTTGTATTTTGTATGTCTATATGTGTAAATGTCTAATATGTGAATATCACAGCATGAAACTGAGTTGACATAGCAATGAAAAATTCAGGGGAGAGATATAAGACAAGGCAAAGTTTACATAGTGAATATTTGGGATCACTATAAGCAAAAGAGAATATAATGGTCAAATCCCAAGGACAGGCATACATGTCTAATGGCAATAGAAAGCTTTTCACAGAATTTTTTGAAGAGGGAATGTGGAGACTCATGGCCAGTGTGGCAGATAACTTAAATAATTCTTACTACGTTGCCCAGTCAGCATTTTCAAGTGATCATAGAGAAAGAAAAGTAGGATTCAACAAGTTGTCAGCCACTTCTGTGCTGTCACTTGGTGATGTTAATATATCTATTAACATAACATAACATAGCATAACCAAGGTGGGGAGAAGTTAGGAGTAAGACCTAGTAAAATGTAAAAATCATGAGGGTTTGGATTTACAGTGAAAAAGATACCCAAAAGAGAAGGTGAGATTAACAATAGCAAGGGTCAGCTTTTGAAGGGGTAGGAGAATGAAGTGCCATGGTTCAGGAATATTTTATTATCTAGACTAGCTGCTTCCCTGCAGGAACTGATGGCATTCACAGTTCACCATGAGAAACAGGTCTGGGACTTGGTTACCCCAACAATAGTATGTACATATAAGTACAAGAATATTAACCACCCTTCCCCTCCCCATGAGCCCAGTTTCCCAGGTAGTCAAGGTGATGGTTCTCCATGTACTTCTGTCTCCTATACTAGGCATGCTGTGTTTGAAAGTATTGGGAGTGTGCAGGCATACTATGTTTGAGAATGGTGATAAAGTCAGCGAATCTTTATAGTGGAAAGTAACACACTGGTAGCTTTTTTTTTTTTTTTTTTTTGAGACAGAGTCTCGATTTGTTGCCCAGGTTAGAGTGAGTGCTGTGGCGTCATCCTGGCTCACAGCAACCTCAAACTCCTGGGCTCAAGTGATCCTTCTGCCTCAGCCTCCCGAGTAGCTGGGACTACAGGCATGCGCCACCATGCCCGGCTAACTTTTTCTATATATATATATTTTTAGTTGTCCAGATCATTTCTTTCTATTTTTTAGTAGAGACGGGGTCTCGCTCTTGCTCAGCTAGTCTCAAACTCCTGATCTTGAACAATCCACCTGCCTCGGCCTCCCAGAGTGCTGGCATAAACTGGTAGCTTTTGAGTTTAATTTGTTTATTGATGTGGATTTGGGTCCAGGTAGGTCTTTGCATCTCACGGTTCAAAATTAACAAACTAACAAAATTAATGGAGCAGCCATACTTTTGATGGAGATAGGGGTAGGAGATTCTGCTGCTTTTCTCCTCTAATAACTGAAGATACCAAGGAGATTGATGTAGCATACAGATAATCTTGAAAGCAAAGTCAGAGTATGGTTGAAACAGTTTGCTCTTTAGGCAGTAGAGTAGAAATGAACATTGCTTGTTCTAATTTATTATACTAGGGAGATGGGAAGGTAACATGAAGTATGACCAAAAAACAGAATTCGATGGTACTGTTTAATATCAGTTTGGCTTATTTGTCTGCCTTTTATTGTCATCTCAAGTGGTTTCTTACTGGATAAACAATATCCATTAACTTATGTCATCTCATAGACACTGCATGAATCTATCTAAAGAGGGACTATCGGCCAGGCGTGGTGGCTCACGCCTGTAATCCTAGCACTCTGGGAGGCCGAGGTGGGTGGATCGTTTGAGCTCAGGAGTTCGAGACCAGCCTGAGCAAGAGTGAGACCCCGTCTCTACTAAAAATAGAAAGAAATTAGCTGGACAATTAAAATATACATATAGAAAAAAAAATTAGCTGGGCAAGGTGGCACATGCCTGTAGTCCCAGCTACTGGGGAGGCTGAGGCAGGAGGATCACTTGAGCCCAGGAGTTTGAGGTTGCTGTGAGCTAAGATGACGCCACGGCACTCTAGCCCGGGCAACAGAGTGATACTCGGTCCCTCTTTTTTTTTTTGGGGGGGGGACAATCTAGGGATATACAGGCACCATAGGTTCCCACTTGGTAGAGCATTTTCTCCTGAGTGGTATCCTCCTACCTACTGACTGGTTTAAGTCCCTACCTGCTGTTCCTATGGGAGCTCTGGGTAGATTTGGTTGCATGGTGGTTCAGATCTGCAGAGTAAAAATATAGGTGTAACAGGTGGCACCTTCTATTTCATTTAAATAGAACTTCCCTTTTGTAGATCCCAATTTTAAATACAGGTGATGGTATGTATAATACCCTACACGCTCTATCAGTTGACCCCATGGATTGAGGCCCTCCCAGGCTTTCAATGACTTTGCAAGATGAGGAAATTAATCATTCTTTGATGACTAAGTCAACTGACCTTTATTTTGGTCTCTCAGTCCCTTCAGCACGAAAGCAAGATCAGCCTAAAGACAGTACCAGGTATTAGAACTTGATGATGTGGGCAAAGGTAACGGTCATACTTAGTGCACTGTTGCTCCTTCATCTCCCATGTATCGGATATGAGCATGAAAGACATGAGTTTCATAAGAGTGCTCAGTGGGGATGTCATATCCTACCTACAGAATTATTCCCGAACTGATGAGTTTGCAGCCGACAGCAATACTACCAAGCTGCCTGTATGCATGGAAAGCAGGGAAATAAGAACATCCCTGCATATATCACTTGTTTTTGTTGAATACTTCATTCTGGGACTTTTTCCTAGAAAGAGCCCCATTTTTTGGTCAGCCTCATGATAGGACCAATAGTGTTAATCCATCTCCCCAGTGACCTCAAAACTTCATGCACAGTCAGGTGATGGAGCAGAAAGGAGAAAAAGAAGTAGACATGGGAGCAAACTGTTTTCACTTGTCTGTTGTCTCTCATCTTTTGCCCCATTTTCCAGAGCCATCCTAAAGATGGTCCTTGACTCTATCCAGAGTCTTCCTTGTGGCATTTATCCCACATAGGTGCATTTCCAAAGCAGCTCATCTTTTGAAGCTTTTTCTTGGATCCTTCTTTTGTTTTTCTGCAATTTTATTAAATAGATCCCTACAACCATATGAATTGATGGAAGTTCCCCCATTTCTCAGTCTTCTCAGGAATTTCTTCATTAATCCAAATGAATCTTTAATTGATGGGATTTTAGAAACTTCAGCAATATTTTAAGGCAAAATAATCATTCCTTTAAATCCCACAACTTAGTATATGCTAGGAAAAGAAGGAATGGAATTAATATTTATCAACTGTTTTGTCCTAGACACTTGTAATATATTTTGTCAATTACTTCAGACAACTTTAGATAGGTCAGTATAGGGATTATTGCAATCCAATTCCTAGATTGGCTGGGTTCTTGAAAATTCTAATGGTAAGTAAATTGGGGGTTGGAAAATTTAAGAGCTTGTTGAGAGGGGACATAGAAAGGTAGAGAGGCCTTGAATAGGTGTGGGTGTGGAAGGTCAGTCTAATTAGGAGTTGGGCTTGGGTTTTGTTGTTGCTCTCATTACTTTCACTGTACCACAGGCCCCAAATTCTTCTAGCAGAGGACTGTTGAGCCTTTGTGCTGAGGTGGGCCTGGGGTGCCAGAGAGTGTTTTTGAGGGTCTTTGCTTCCCCCTTAGCTTTCAGCCTTCCCTGCTTTTCTGCTGCCCCACAGATGGCGTCTCTCTCTGGGCTCTTGCCCCTCACCTGGTGGCAGCCTGCATTCTCCTGTGACTCAGTGCTGGGCTGGTGGGCAGGGCAGGAGGTTCCCTGTTGTTCTGTGCCAGCCTCAGGCATAAGCTGGCCACATGCACCTGGCCTTTTGGAGATGGGGCTTTCTCAGTGTTCCTGCCCTCCATCCATGTGGCAGCCAAACTCTGCCTTGCATCTGTGGTTAGTCTCAGGCCAGTGTCTCCTGTGTCTGCCCCAACAGTAGGAGACCTCTGTTTGGTGTTGGTATATGATCTCTCTTCCTCTCTGGCTGCCTGCCTTACTCTCATCTTTTCACAGGAGGCCTATGGAAAAGTGCTTCTGAATAAGTGAACTTTCCTTGGCTCTGGAGGCCCAGGCTATTCCATACTGACATTGTAGCCCACCTTTGGCCTTTACCAGTACATTAAGATTTTAGCTGATACCTTCTTACCAGCTTCTGTGATGGCATTGTCTTCTTCCTGGGTCCTGCCATAGCTGAGACTGTTCTTGTATCCCTTCTCTCCTTGGAGGGCCCAGTTCCTCTTTGGAAATAAGGTTACTTCATTACTTTTTGCCCCCAGATCTTTGCTGGACTCAAGAAAAATTATGATTTTGTGGTTCATCTGGCTTTTATTTGTTGTTAGGGTGGGATCAATATTTTTTGTAGTTTTCTATGTCCTAAGCATAAGAGTAAAGGCCAGGTTTATTTAATTAAGATTCTTTCCCTCCTCTGAACTCCCAAGATCTTCATTAGTACCATTATTAGGTACTTGCACTTTTTTACCTATAATATTTGTATATCTGTCTTATCTTCCCTACTGAATGGAAGCTATATGAGATCTCATCTTAATAATCTTTCTATCCTCAACAGTACCCAGTACAGTGTCTTATACATAGCACAAGCTCTAAGACAAAGGTATTGGGGGGTAAAGGGCTTTGTTAAAATGTAGGTGAGGAAGTCCTGAAGAAGTGAATGGTTAGGAAAATGAGGTTATTGTTCTAAGCAGAGGGAGGTAAGAGTAGATGTAGCTTTTTTATTTTTGAAACTTTTCTCTGCACATGAGCATTTGGTGTGATGTCCATGTTCAGAATTAGACACTTTAATTGAATTTACAAGGAATCAGCAGCCAATGTGGTGGGAGATACTGCAGGGCACTGCTCTTTGTGATGCAGCTGAACCTATGAAAATATGTCTCTAAACAAAGTTTTGACTTGAACCAAACACATTCTGGGAAAGCAAATTGTGATAATAGAAATGTTTCCCAAAGAGAAAATCCTCAGTAAGCAGATGAGACAACTAAGGTGGTTAGACAGGCATGTGGGTTGGGCAATAAGCATAAGAGAGTTTTCTAGGCTCTAGGACTTTCTGTATGTCATCAGCTGTCTTGATCTTCCAGGCCATGAGAATTTTCCTCATGCCTAAAGGTTCACTAAAGTCTACTCTTTCATATCCAGAGATCTTTCTTTTCATCTTGTCTGTGTCAGTATGACTTTGGCTGCATGATCACACCTTGCTAGCAGGTGCTATCATTTTCAGGTTAGAATATGTACTGTTTCCTATTGTAAAAAAAATCATGTAGTGGCCAGGCACGGTGGCTCACGCCTGTAATCCTAGCACTCTGGGAGGCCGAGGAGGGCAGATCGTTTGAACTCAGGAGTTCAAGACCAGCCTGGGCAAGAGCGAGACCCCGTCTCTACTAAAAAAATAGAAAGAAATCAGCTCGACAACTAAAAATATATAGAAAAAAAAATCCGGGCATGGTGGCGCATGCCTGTAGTCCCAGCTACTCGGGAGGCTGAGGCAGTAGGATCACTTGAGCCCAGGACTTTGAGGTTGCTGTGAGCTAAGCTGATGCCATGGCACTCTAGCCTGGGCAACACAGTGAGACTCTGTCTCCAAAAAAAAAAAAAAAAAAAGATCATGTAGTCCCTTAGTTTACCAATTCATTAAGTTAAACTTTGTATACCAATTTTCTTAAATTAAGGAATGCCTTTAATTAATGTGTTAGCATCTGTGTCATTAATATTACACCAGCTAAAGATTAGATAATCTATTGCCCAATTCAGTCTTATTTTTTTTCTTCATCTCTCCCCAGTTTTGTGTTGAAGTTTGGATCGGGAGCTTTTTCCATGGAAGTTTTCAGCTTCCTTATTTCTAGGCAGAGTTATGATCTTTCCCCTGATGCTGACTGGCTTAGGATGGTATTTGATTATTAGTTTTGCCACTGTGCTATTTGGAGTCATTTATTTCTAGGGAAATAAACTGAGGGTCTTAGAGTGAATAAGGACAGGGAAGTTTCATTACCCACACTAAATCACAGATGTTAGAAAATGAAGCAAAAAAACTCTCGTACTTGTGTTTATATTGACATTTGAATGCTCACCCTATTGCTTTAATATTCTTTTCTGGGGGTAATATATGCTGATTAACCTATCTGGCTGTTATTTTAGTAGAGAAGTGGTCAGAAGGAATGATACAAGAGAAGAAACCAGAATGTGTAAAAGAACTAGAAGGAAAATCTTCAGTTTCTCAGGTGTCTACACGAATGGAAAAATCTACAGACACAGAGGAGGACAATATAGCTGGACCATTATTTAGCAACAAAACCACCCAGTTTCCATCAGTTCATGCTGAGCTCTTAGAGCCTGAGGGTACAACTGAAGCAGTTTGTGGTCCTTCTTCTAAACCAACCACCCCTAAGACTGCTAGCCCACCCTCATCACCATCTCCAGCAGGTATCTCTCCAGAGTTTGCCTATGTCCCAGCTGACCCAGCTCAGTTCGCTGCTGAGATGTTAGGTAAAGTTTCATCTACTCATTCTGATCAATCTGACGTTTTAATGGTGGATGTCGCAACCAGTATGCCTGTTATCAAAGAGGCACTGAGCTCAGATCCTGCTGAAAATGTCATGGTGGCCACTTCTCTTGTGTGTTCTAGAGAGGTGGTAGCAGTGCAGGTTGTGAGCCAGAAATCTGACCATGTAGATTTGGGTCCTAAACCTAAAGGCGGTAAGGCTGAACCATCAACAGCTTCCTCATTCCCCTTGCAGGATGAACAAGAACCTCCCACTTACAATCAAGCTCCTGAGGTCTCTTTGCAGGCTGACATTAAGGTTACATCAACCGTTCATATATCATCTATCTATAAAGATGAGCCTGTGACTGAAGGAGTTGTTTATGTCGAACAAATGCCAGAACAAATAGTTATCCCCTTTACTGATCAAGTTGCTTGCCTTAAAGAAAATGAGCAGTCACCACCAGTTAGTTCCAAACCTGTAGTATACAAGACAACCTCAGGTATGTCTAAAAAATCTGTAGAGTCTGTAAAACTTTTACATTTGGAGGAGAATGCAAAATATGATTCTTCAGTACATGTGGAGGCAGAAGCTACAGTTCTGCTCTCTGACACTTACATGAAAGGTCTGCCTGAGGTATCTGCACAACCCCTGGATGCAGAGGGCTCCATCAAAATAGGCTCTGAAAAATCTCTGCACCTTGAAGTGGAGATCATTTCGATGGTCCCTGACAAAACTGGGCAGGAGGAGTCAGGAGAAAACTCTGCACCCGGGGAGATGGAGGTCAAACCTGTGTTTCCTGGGGAAGCAGCAGATGCACCTGTAAAACCATCTGGTGGCTCCATTCCTCCTGTTCCAGAAGGTCTCGGTGCACCAGAAATTGAACCAGAAGGGGAAGCAGCACCTGACAAGGTTTGATGAAACCAGGTAAGAAAATTAGATACTTATACAATTACAAATTGCATTTCAGGTGACATCTGTATTTCAGATAACCATCTATGTAGGCTCCCCGCAGACTGGTCAAAATCTTTATTTTCAAGTTTTTTTAGAAATGCCAAACCTATTTAAAGGCTTTGTTGCATTTGAGATTTTACTATTACGAGATGAGTGATTTTTAAAGTGACATCCCCAAAGCTTGGCCTCAAAGTTTCATCATCTAGCACTTTTGTATTATTCTTTTGGAAATATTATACAGCAAGCAACACTATAGCCTGTTGTCAGGTACAAAATATATTCTTGCGATCTGAATATTCCTATTGTAAAACTGTAATTAGGGGGTGTTGGTTTGAAATTTCTCACTTGTGAATGTAAAATTGAACCACAACAATGCAATTACATAGGCTGTGGTATTTTAAAAAGAGAAAGAAATGGTGGTGTGTTTGACTGCTTTCGCACTGAGTTAGGAGAGCTCTGCAAGCAGGTCTGGGGTGCCAGGCCAAGCATTGATTTCCTGTCCAGGAGCTTCCTGCAGCTGAGGGAGCAGCTTCATAGCTGGATGGAGAGAGGAAAAGTCAGGTCAAACTTCTGTCACACAGGGCAGCATGGAGGTAGCAGCAGCAGCAGCAGCAGAAAGGATAGTTAGGCACTTGAACAACAATGGATGCCATTCAGATGATTGGCTTCCTTCCATGAGTTCCCCAACAAGTGCCAAAATCAAGCTGCTTTCTCGGCTGCTGAACTGTCATCATGTTTTCCTGTGACACAGACATGACTTGACCTCCATCTCAATCTAGTTATATGGCATTTGATCTCCTCACCCTCATGCCTCACATGGGTACTTGCAGGGGCCCTTCTCTTTTAAGGGATGGAAGGGACATGCATGAGCCAATCCTCCCATTCCTTTTGCAAAAACTCTCAACCCTGACTCTTACCCAAGCCAGAATGATAAAGAAGTGTTACCTAATAAGCAGGTGTTTACAAAAGATCAAATTCTGTCTGGCAGTGTGACAGGGGTTCTGTACAGCTGAAAAGGCAGAGGACAGTGTTGAGATTGAGGCATGTGGGGCTGGCATCAGACCGACAGCTTAAGCAGGACTTCCAGACCAAGTTACTGTTTTCAACTGCTTAACTATTTCTAAAGTAAAATAGAGTTGTCCTCAGCACTTAAAGGATATTTGACCGAAAGAATTAAAAAAAAAAAAAAAAACTCAGATTGAGTTATCAAACTCTTTCCCTTTGAAAAAACGGAAGACTTGGCTTGTATGTATTTTTTACTAAGCTTGAAGAAAGATCAGTTGAAAGTACCTGAAGCTATTGAAAACATATCAGCTTAATGATGTGCATAGTGTTATTTTCTGGGGAAGAAAAAAAGGCTGCACTAGGGATAGATGGCCCAGTGTTCAAAGGTTCAGTGTTCAGCACATTGGGGCACAGTGAAATTCCTCCATGGGGAACCTTTTCTCCTAGGTCCCATCTTCTGGGATTCGGTTCTCCAAGACACTACCATCTTCGTTGGGCAGGTCACAGCATTATAGATTCCTTGGTGTAAGTGGATGGATGGCATTCCTAGACCTCTTTTTTTCTAAAAGAACCCCTGTGGGACCAACCAGCCTCTTACTGCCACCTAGGACTTAACGATTTCAAGCCTTGCCTAAAAGGGGTGCTCTCTGCAGTTCTGAGTCCTAGATTATGTGATGTTTTATGTGTGGAGAAAAATGAATGGGAGATAATGGTGCCTATGAAGGGCCAGAGATATTAGATTATGTAATCAAGATGACACCTAGTGCTGACTTCTTTAGGAAAGAAAAATCACTATGCAGATGGATTAACACTTTTTTCAGTGGCTTGACATACTCTTCAATTGATTTTTTTGGGGGAAAGTCAAAAGTTTTTTTTTAACTATTCAGTTCCTTTCTGAGGATCTTGTAGAAGCCATGTCTAAAGGTGAAGTAGGTGGAAACAGCAACTTACAATGAGATTGTTGCTTCAGCCACAACTGTAGTGTCCCCGCCACTTGCTGTCACAACACTCTCCTCATTTTCCAACTGTAGAGAATCTCTTCTTTCACATTACCAAACACTATTTAGTCCTCTCTATAGCATGCTTTATGGCACATATTACAGTTGTTTATTTATATGTAAAAAAAGATTTACAAAGACATTACTGTGCATAGCGCCTGATACAGAGACCAAACCTTTAATGCCTGCAATTTTTTTTTTTTTTATAGCAATAGCAGCAAGCGAAGCAGGACAACCACCACCATATTCTAACATGTGGACCCTTTATTGTCTAACTGATATGAATCAACAGAGTCGCCCATCACCACCACCTGCACCTGGGCCTTTCCCCCAAGCAACCTTCTATTTATCTAATCCTAAGGATCCACAGTTTCTGCAGCATCCACCAAAAGTCACTTCTCCAACTTATGTGATGATGGACAACAGCAAGAAGACCAGTGCCCCCCCTTTTATTTTAGTAGGCTCAAATGTTCAGGAAGCGCAGGAATGGAAACCTCTTCCTGGACATGCTGTTGTTTCACAGGCAGATTCCTTGAAGAGATACGCTGCAGTACAAGTGCCCATTGCTGTTGCTGCAGATCCGAAATTCCAGAAACACACCCTAAACCCCCAGAATACTAGTCCTCCTACAAGTCGACAAGATGTCCCCAGACCACAAAGCCCTGTTTTTCTTTCTGTTGCCTTCCCAGTGGAAGATGTAGCCAAAAAAAGTTCAGGATCTGGTGACAAACGTACTCCCTTTGGAAGTTACGGTATTGCTGGAGAAATTACCGTGACTACAGCCCATGTTCGCAAAGCAGAAACTTAAAACTGGTAGGTAAATTTTCCTACCATAATATGTGGGCCTTTAACACACTTGAATTTTCAGCATTTTGTTGACCTGGAAATTGAGATATTTAAAATAATTAAATTGAATTAATATGTAATGAGTTGGAGGTATACTCTAATTTGATGTGGTTATTGTTTCCACCTTCTTAACCACCATTACCAATAAACATGCAGGTGTGCAGCACCACAGTGACTCAGTTTCGTGCCCAGGTAATGAACCAGCCAAGCCATCAACTCAGTCACCTTTGAATACCTGGTCTGTTGTCTAACACTGTGGTAGATGCTAAAGGGGGATGGATTTTTAAAAAGGACAAGACAGTCTAGTTGGCATGTTTAAGGAGTAGGGAGGAGCAGTGACAATAGCTGGAAACAACTGGAGAGCAAGGTAAGAGAGAAGTTCTGGTTATACATGGATTGCCCAACCCATGAGGTAAGAGACAGTAGCATCTACAGGTTGGAAACACGTTAAAGGGACAACTGAAATTACAGATAAGATGGTTTTATCACAAGTCATTTAATTTTTCATTCAACCAGTACTTAATGCTAAGCACTACGCTAGCCTCATATGTGGACAGTGAGCAAAACATAGAACCTCTACCTTAGTGGGGAAACAGACAAAAAAGTACATCAATAGGTGAAGTATTATGAAAACAAGGTACTGACACAGGCCCTCCTTTAATAGTCACTGTTAAATTGGGTATTCAGGCTTGGATGTAAACTGACACCTGAGCTTGAGAAAGGAGCAGACTTGTGAAGAGCTCCCAGGTCCCATCCTACGGCAGGAAAGAGCGGGGGTTCAAGAGACTGCAAGCAGGCCAGTGCCTGGGGTGGTGGTGGGTACATAAAGTGCAGAGGGCACCCCAGCATACCAAAGAATCAGATTCATGTTTTTATTAGATCCCCTGGCTGCTATGTGGAAAATGAATTAGAAGTCAGGAAGAGGTCAACAGAGGAAGCAGGGAGACAAATTAAGAGTATATAACACAAGTATTATATACCAACAAATTCAGTTACTTAAAACAATTTGTGGGAATTTTAAGCCGAACATCTGAGAGATGGGCACAAGTTAGATTTCATTCATAGGCAGGCTCAAGTACTACAGTTACCTTACTTAAGGAAAGACAACTGTTTTCAAAGTATCTCAGGGTTATGTGCACTTATTCATCCTTTTTGTGGACTTTTAGTGGAGTTGTCAAAATGGCTGTTTTCAGCAAGAAATTGCTAGTATATTTTTGTGTAAAAGCACCGGTACAGGTAACTAAGAGCTTAGTATAGGAAGGTATACCTTGCAGCATTTTTGATCTTCCACTGAATTCACATGTTCAGTTTAATGATTACATTTAAACAATTCAATGTTTACATTATTTCTAACAGATCCTGAAAATGACGCTGTTTGAATCAACATTCAAGGTGGAGTTGGCCACTAAGTGTAATATAGCAATAAACTTCATGCAAGCATAAAACCTTGTATTGCTTATTTTTATAACTTTAGAAGATATACAAATAACCAAACACAAAGGGCCTCAAATCATTTTAGACCTGTGAAGCAATAGCATTTTCCAAACTATGCATAATTTTTTTTTTAACCATTCCCACTCCAACAGATCTAGTCATGAATTCTCTAGTCAGGTATTCCAACTTGATAATTCTGTATGTGACACTCACACCAAATGAATACAGCACCTCTCTATAATACACTGTTTGCCCACTTCTCACTGTGCATGCCACGTAGCTGGTTAGCTCTTTGGCTGTGGGGACTGTGGCATCACAAAGACTTCTTTAAAAAGACACTTTTGATAATTTACAATAGTATTAAGTGGCAACATTAGCATATTTGAAATTTTAAAAGAAACCACATGTTTTTGGAACATTCTAAAGCCTTTATTTAGCATCAGGTAGATTATTATTTCATTATAACACTTGTTAACTTCAAGAGAGCAATTAAAATAATTTACTGGCAGCTACCTAAGGCCCCTTGAAGCAGTATCTCAGTCTGGAGTTTGGTAGATAAATACTGTAAGATTAATGTACCCCAATTAAAGGGGCAAAGCTCTACTGTACAGTAGGTCTCCATACATATTTTAAGTACACAGGTGCCTTGCAAACTTGAAATGCACAAGACCTCCTTTTATATAATTTGATACTTATAATACATACACGAGTGCAACTTAATTTCTTTGGTGGCATTTGCCACTGGAAGTTGAAGCATTTAAAAAGGTTTGTCATGTAATGGTGATTAAAATCTATATTTCTAGGGCATTTTGTGAATTACTAGATTTTATACATATTTTCAGTTAAAATGTACAATTTAAACTTAATGACACTGATTACAGCAAATTATAAAGGGAAATTCAGAGCACTAAAATAAATAAATACTTTTCCAGTTTAATTCTTTAGAATTTTCAAATGGGGAATACCTACTCTGAATATTCAGGCATATTTTCTTTTTGGAGCTTGGAAGGGGTAAAATTGAGAGGATTAATATGAATAAAACCCTTCTTATCAATGGAGTCTTTACAAAATGACATAACCTCTACATTTGAGCACATAAACATTGTATAGGAGAATTCCAAACAATTTCAAAGTTATATCTAGAACATTTAAGCATGACAGCATAAAAATTTCAAAATAACTTGATTTGGTATTACTATATAATTCCATAAAGCTAAAGTTACATTTAGGTATAAACCTTCAGTAAATATGGCAATGGCAACCATAAAAAGCATACTCCCCCAGCAGTTCTTCTTACCTCTATATAAAATAGTATTCCAAATAAGTACATTTTATAGCAAAATTATGCATTTTTCCTAAGACTTTCGCTACCAATATCACCTAGGCCCTACTTTTGTTGGGTGAAATGCAAATTATCTCATGAGTAGGTTTTTCATTTTTAAAAGATGAGTAGAAACCAAGAGAAAAAATTTAAAAACATAGATTTAAGACTTATTTGTAGATTAAACACCCTGACTTTTCTTCATTTTAATAAATGTCAGGCAAATTGAAGTAGTTTCTGTCCCAGTAGCTGCCGGAGTAAATCCAGTCCTGTGCTCCATTGTAGGGATTAGGACCTTGATGGAACCACCTGTTTAAAGAGAAAGGACAAGATTTACAAAATCACAGGGCATCTGCTTGTTCACTAGCTTGTGGTATATTTCCCTATTGCAGCAATGTACTTCACTCTGTGAGTTAATGATTTTCAAAGAGATGCTGAAGAAGTGATGCTGTTTTTCTCTTTAGGGAACACGTCTGTAGAAGGGGTAATGATACCACGCAAAAGGGTTATGAATCTCCCACAGCATCTGGCAATACTAGATAGAAGCAAGGTCTTCTAATAGGGTTGTCAGAAACAATGTCTAACCAGTTCACCTTCTAGCCCCACTCTTTATCTTCCACTAGAAAGCATTCTTTTGCTTTAAGCAGCTAGGAATAAGGAAATGAACTTTTAGAACAACCTGTAAAGTGCCTGGTTTAGAGTAAATGCCCTCCAGACTCTTTTTTTTTTTTTATTTCAGCATATTATAGGGTACAGATGTTTAGGTTATGTGTGTTGCCCTTGGTTCCCCCCTCCCCAAATCCGTGTTTCAAATATGTCCATCCTTCGGGTAGTGTGCATTGCACTCCTTGTGTATACAAATACCCGTCCCCTCCTCCCTCCTCCCCCCTCCTCC